TCATCTTGGAAATAAACCAAATTTTCAATTGAGTACTCCATATTATCCCTTTTTGGACCCCCTGATACTTTATTATTCTCAGCATTCTTTGTCTTTTTACAGACCCTTATTTTTTTTTGAGGAAAAATGATCTTTTAAAGGAATACAGTGCTTATAACACAAAAATTTGAGAAAATAGACATTAAAATAAAGCAATAGATGGCTGTTAGTTGGAAATCATTTATTGCCTCTATAAAAGTAAAAAAAAATCATACAAAAGTTTACATTAGAGTCTGATATGGTTTTACAGTGCTAGTATGTTTCAGAGGTAGTACCAGTAAAATGGGATGCAAGATTTCTAAAATTAATTACTTAACAAGTTAATGCAACATAAAATTTCAGTGTGGAACAATATACTCAGTATATACTTTAATGGAACAATCATAATTATATTCCATGAAAATATCTTTTTTTTCTCTTTTACCCTTTAGCAAATCTGTTATTAATAAAGATTTGTTTTGGGCAATGGTATTCTGTCTGTAGACTCAAAAGTTAATTGGTTCCTCTATTATATCATCAACAGAGCATAGCTTGTGAAGAGCATGACACAGTACTGTCCACCAAGGATAACACCAACTTCAAAGATAAGCTTATTTACTCATCATTTAGACACTCTGGTTCTTATAACTCTTTTAAAAGGCAAATTTATCAGAATCTGGCATTTTTAGGATATGAATGATAATCTAATATATATTTTAAAATAAACATTATTCCTGGTATACCATTACTGGAACATGTAGGAAGGACAGCAGTTAATGTCTCTTAAAAATGATCATAAACTATTAGGCTAAGACTAGGAAACTATTCCTTGGAAATGGGCTAAATGCTCCTTCCCTTCAAAAAAGGCAACAAAATCCATCTTAGAGTCTAGAATTCTTTTAAATAGACATCTTACATTTTATCCTACAAACTTACAGATTGTTGACTATGAGAGTACCTTGAAATAGATGCTGCTGTCTTAGGGAAAAAAAGACTTCTTGGACATCTTTTGAAGTGTTGGTAGTATACAGAGCATGGGATGTGATTTGGCTGCAGACTATTCTTCTCCAACAATCATAAACATTTCTTATCACATGATTGCAATGGTAGTATAAAAGTCTCACTGTTGCCGAAACCGGTTTGGCTTAGTGGATAGAGCGTCAGCCTGCGGAGTGAAAGGTCCTGGGTTCGATTCCGGTCAAGGGCATGTGCCTTGGTTGCGGGCACATCCCCAGTAGGGGGTGTGCAAGAGGCAGCTGATCGATGATTCTCTCTCATTGATGTTTCTAACTCTCTATCCTTCTCCTTTCCTCTCTGTAAAAATTCAATAAAATATATTTTAAAAAAATAAAAAAATAAATAAAAGTCTCACTGTTGCCCTAGCTGGTTTGGCTCAGTGCATAGAGCATCAGCTTGTGGACCAAAAGGTCCCAGGTTCAAATCAAGTCAAGGGCACATACCTTGGTTGCAGGCTCCTCCCTGGCCTAGGCCATGGTCAGGGCTCTATGCAGAAGGCAACCAATCGATGCGTTTCTTTCACATCGATGTTTCTTTCTGTCTTTCCTCCTTTGTTATATTCTACCTAAAAATCAATGGAAAAATATCCAATAATGGAAAAATAATCAATGTAAGAATTAACAACAGCAAAAAAGTCCTGCTGTTATAACTGATCTTACAACAAAACATTCCCAGGTTCCATAAAAGGCCAATTTTCCTTTAAGTTTTCCTTGCATGTGTTAATATTCCTATTTACCAGAGTAACTGCAGTTTTATTTTTCTTGTGAATAATTTTAGCTTGGCTGAGATGAGAAAGGTATCTCCATTTTTTTAAAATATATTTTTTATTGATTTTTTACAGAGGGGAAGGGAGAAAGAGAAACATCGATGAGAGAGAAACATCGATCAGCTGCCTCCCACACACACACTGGGTTTGTGCCTGCAACCAAGGTACATGCCCTTGACCAGAATCGAACCTGGATCCCTTGGTCCGCAGGCCGGTGCTCTATCCACTGGGCCAAACCGGTTAAGATGGTATCTTTATTTTTTGTTTGCTTTATATCTTAATATATATTTTGGAAGGTAAGTGCTCTTAGATGCATATTTCCTGCTTAGAAATTGGTTGACTGTCCCAAACTGAAAGCAAACATCAAAGTAAAAGAGGAAAAAAATGGCTTTTCATGTTAACATTTGTTTTTGTGAGAGATGATTCAGATAGTGTGGTCTGTTTCACTATTGAGTCACAGTCCTATAAAAAGAAACCCTAGTGGGTTTTTTCCTCCCCTTAGTCATGAAGATGTTCACAAAAGAAATCATGAACTGATGTTTTTCCTCCACTAAAATGTCTCAAAAGCAATTCCAATCTGAAAGGAACATTTTTTCTTCATAATAGAGGTTTTTTTTTTAATACTTGACACCTTGGCATACACCTTGCCTGTTATGATTTTTCCTTCTGGATACAGATATTTCCTTTGGTTTCTGCTTTAGCATAACCATATTTCATTTTAGAAATATTTAAATTCCAGCGATGATAAAATAAATAACTCTGGTGATGAAGTATAAATGCCAAAACAAAAGGATCCCTACATGCAGTTTCTCTTTTAATGGAACTTTAAATAGGGACAAGGGAATCATCTATGCTTTCTCTCAAAATTGTGGGCTAGGGTTCTAGGAATCACACATAGCAGAATCCTTAAATCTATTCAACTTCATAGTCAAATAAACTGTATTAATATACCTGAAAAAGTGATAAGAAATAATTTGTTTTGAAGTTTATGGCTTGTTGAGGAATTAAAATCCAATGTCCTTAAAGGAGGAGGTCAAATAATATTTGATTTAGTGACTAAATGTTGAGATGTGACAAAATCCATATAGTTGAAAGATATAGGGAAAAAATCATCTTTCCTTACTTTGTAACAAGAACCAAATAAGAAGGTATTTAAATTGAAGCAGAATAAAATTAGAGTTTAAAATTAAACTCAGTGACTAGGAAGGAATTCTTAGGAGAAACTTAAAGGTCTGGAATTTGTTCGTGCTACATTAAGAAATGATTTATACATTTGCTATATATAGTAGGGACTCTTTATCTCATGGAAGAATTGGTAAAAACAAAAAAAAACATAAATGTAATCTTAATATCTGATGTTCAATTGTTACTCAGCACTCTTTTTTTCTGAATAAAATTTGACTTGTCATCAAGGAGTACTAAACATTGTTTGCAATAAACCATATGGGTGTCAGCTAAACAGGAGCATACCTAACCATTTATATATTTCTGCTAACAAAAGAACCATAGTAAGATGACAGTAACATTACATTAAATCAATAGATGATAAAAGGAAGAATTATCAATAAACCTTACTTATTTGTGTGTGTGGTAGGAGACATTTCAAGGTCAAAGGCATTAATGACCACCTTTCTGCATTCATAAATTGGTATCTGTGAATTCCAAGATCAAAATTGTTTTTCTTAAAAATTACAAAATTATCTGATAGAAACTTGATGGCCAAGAGTCATGAAAGCTACTTCTTTAACATTTTTTTATGTGTAGATAGTAATTTAATCATGCACATGATTCCACACTGTCAACCCACAAATATATGACACTGTGTGCTCAGGGAGAAACTGGCATTTTCCCTTTTATAGGCTCTGGTGATGCCAACTGGTACCCAGAATGAAAGGACTGCAAATTGTCTACAGTGTGTTACCAGCTGGTACCTGCTAATAGAATAAATGGGTAGTGTGCTCATAGAAGAGTGTCCAGGAAATCCAGGAGACTAGATTTTACAACCAAAGTGGTATAACTCTTTTTTTATATTATCCTTGGCTGATAGCTCTGTACAAGCCTCACATGGAAATGAGGTAAATTTTATGGCAAAGCTGAATGACTAAATTAAACACAATCTTGCCAGGCCAGCATGGCTAGTGGTTAAGCATAGACCTATGAACCAGGAGGTCATGTTTCAATTCCTGGTCAGGGCACATTTCCGGGTTGCAGGCTCAATCCCCAGTAGGGGGCGTGTATGAGGCAGCCAATCAATGATTCTCTCCCTCTCTGAAATCAATAAAAATATATTTTAAAATAATAATCTTAGTGGCCTACCTTGATTTTGTGTCTCATAAAATATTTAAGAAGTCAAAACTATTGTGAAGACGATAATAAACTTGTAATATTTGTGCAACATTTTATGTAACTCCATTATTCCATTCTACTAGTAAAATGTGAATATCAATATTTTTCATTTTCAGTGATGAGGAATTTCTATTGACTAATCTTTTACAACATTTTGTTTCTGTACACTTAATTTATTTAACTTCATGTTGGTGAATTACTTTTCTGTAGTGCTTCCCCCCCTGAAATGTTTGGGTTAGATAATAGAAGAATAGCAACAATTTACAATTATATACTAGTAATCACTTCAATATTCAATCATTAACTTAAATCAAATTTCACAGGGCTTGAAAAATAAATCCCAAGACTCATACAGGTTAAATCACTTTCCAAGTTTCATTTCAATTTTCAGTCCACTTTCCTGAGTAAAAGTATATGTTAGCAAAGGAGAGAGAAAGAAGGAAGATGTAATGACTACAAAGACAATAATCAAGCTTCAGTAATTTGATAAAGCAATGTTGAAATACTTTTATTTTGTCTCTGGCCTAAGCTATTATTAAAACTAAAATTTTTCTATAAAACCAAACAAAAAATTCAAAAGTTATACATTATGCATTTCATAGCTAAGCTCTTCAAAATTAAATATTTTCCCACATTTCTATCAATTTGGGAAAAACTCTCAAAATATGCTTTTAAATTTCACAAACAATTTTTGTACTGTAGCCATTATATCTCATCCATTCTTCACAGAACATATTGGTTTCAACAATATGTTTTTCCAATTGAAGAATTTCAGGGCAACAGAATGCAATTATATTGGAATGCACTCCTGTTAGTCAGCGTAAAAGCTGTGTCATATATCATCCCCCTCAAATCACAAACAGTCTGAGGCATTTTTCTCTGACAAAGAAGATACACCGAGTGAGGTATCATCAGGTTCCAGTGAGGTATGATTGAAATCCATCTCTTCTAATTCAGGAGGTAAATCTGACAGCAGTGCCTGAGTTGGAAAAATCAATTATTCTGAATTAGTATGTGGACAGATTTCCCCCCAATTTTATGTTAATAGTTGCAGTTCTCTGATGTTGATTTATTCTTATGGATTTAAAGAAAGGAACATTCTTTTTCAGGACTTTGTATGATATCTTACCTAAAAGATAAATTCTTAATACACTAGTATTAGAGAGTGTAGATTATGTAAAGTAGAATCTCAGACAAAAGGAAAACCAGGAGAGAGATGAACTATTCTGTATCAAATGCTTTGAAGTGTTTCAGATATGTAATTTCCATATGAGTTTTGAGTGTTCACTGATCACTGATAAATGGCTTTAAAATTACATTCCTTATTAAAATACCCCTGCCTAGTTATGCTGTCTTTTAGAGAAAAACACATTTCACAAAAACCTATTTTGTACTTCAGTGGGACAAAGAACTTAACCATTGAGAAAGAAATTCACCTTTTTTTTACTTTAGACTAAACTTTAACAATTTTAAAAGATTAAGTAATTTTTCTTTTCTTAGACTATGCCCATATATCCACAGATGACCAAACACCCACCGGGGCACAGCTGAACCAGTGAATCTAGCTGTGTAATGATATATTTAGAGTGCTGGTCATTTCTCTACCGAGAGTAATTAGGATAAGTCAAGAGCCATGAACTAAGCTTTGCTATGTGTAATCATTTCTACTAGGGATGCAAAACATGCATCCATACAAGAGTAATAAAGTATCAATCAAGTTTTATATGGCTGACGGTGTTGATGCCCACTTGACCACAAAAAATTATAAAGAAAACGACTGATTTGCTGCTCTCAATACTACCGTGTTTCCCCCAAAATAAGACATCCTCAGAAAATAAGACCTACTTACAGGTTTCCTTCTGAGTGAAATATAAGGCATCCCCCCGAAAATAAGGCCCCCCTAGGCTAAACATGAGAGATTTGGTCCATTGATTCTGAAAGAAATGGAGTCACAAGAAATTCACCAGGAAATTCAGGAATTAGATTGTTATGATGATGGTCCAGAAGATGATGACATGATTGTCATTGAATAAATGAGTAAATTCTTGATACTGTAGGATTCACAGTTTGTCTGGTTTGTGTTGACAACTACCGTACTACCGTACCGTATACAGGTAATAAATTTCCTTTATTTTCATTTAACAATAAATGTGTACCGTATTCTTCTTCATGGTAAAATAAGACATCCCCTGAAAATAAGACCTGGCGCATCTTTGGGAGCAAAAATTAATATAAGACACTGTCTTATTTTCGGAGAAACAGGGTAAAAATAATGTAGTATATCAGAGAAATTTTTAGACAGCATTATTTGTAATGTGGGCTTTGGATGGAAGGCCCAAGGGAACCAAAACAAATGCAAGCTTCCCATGACCTAATTAAGGAACAGAAGAGTGGGGCATGTTGGAGAACATATGCAATCCACTGTTGAAATAAGACAGTATTCTCCTACTATCCTTATTAAAGGAAGTGAGATCTACAAATCCTATGCTTTTTATCTTATAGCAGAGAGGCAACATTAGAAACTTCCTCCTTTTTGTCAGGCAACTAAGAAAAACTAACTCCTGTCTGAAAAACATTATATTATTAAATATTTCTTGGCCCTGGCCAAATAGCTCACTTGGTTAGAGTATCATCCTGATATGACATGTTTGTGGGTTCGATCCCTGTCAGAGTGCATACAAGAATCAAATAATTGAATGCATAAATAAGTGTAACAACAAATCTCTCTCTCTTTCTCCCCCTACCTTCCTCTTTCCTTCCCTCCTTCTCTCCTGTACTCCCCCCCATTTTTTCTTCTCTGTCTAAAATTTTTAAAAGAGTTCTTGAATTTCCTGCTGAAATTGACAGTATTTACAAAGCAGTCACCTGAGAGTACTACATGATTTTTAAGTTGTTAGGTTTCAGTAATAAGACACGATGCCATTTTCTTCTATAACTGTTGCTTACCACTAACCCAGTTCAGGTAAAACAAAGCCTTTGCTGACATTGACTGATAATAGTTTGTGAAGAATATATCATTGTATTTAGTTCAATTTGTATTTGTGAAGGAGCTATATAAGAGAGGGCAAAGTGTTGCAATTAACATTCACTGAACATGTGCTTAGAGTATTAAAAAGTCAAGTGGATAGCAAACTTGACATTCCAAATTCTAAAAATCAAAGAAGTACTACTATTTATTTCTTTGTCATTGCACTTCACATAGGTGACTGACAAAATAAGTGTAGTATGAAATAGAAAAACTTTAATATTTGAGGCAATATACAACACTATTGCATAAAAACCTCTTCAAAAATGTTTTTCAGTATATTACTAGGTTGCAACACTGGTACACTGAACAAATATTTGGGGTATGCCAATTGCTAGAACTGCCTTTTTCTTAGATACTAACACAATTAACTTTTTCTTCACCTAGAACCATTCTTCCCAAAAGATTTAAAACATATCTCAAATATATCATCAATCTTGAAACACTTATTCTAGGACCTAAGGTGTTAATGCCAAGTTCTATGATATTAATCATTCTGATCTTACTTGCAAAGTAGAGAAATTGAAGTTCAAGGAATGCAATTGACCTGACTAAGTTTACATCGTGAATTATCAGGAGAAGAAAGACCATAACTAATGACAGTACAGGGCTTGCAATATTATTTTTATTATAAAATGGCCATTTATTTTTTTTTAAAGCTTTTGAGTAGTATAATACTTCAGTCAGACTGTATCATATAAGCCTGGACTGTTTCATTAGGGCAAAATTCTCTGTACCACTCATCTCACTTAACTTATCCAAATCAAGATTGATGGAAAAACACTTAGGATTTTTTAAATGATAAATCAATGAAACAAATTCCTTCTAGAAATAAACTTCTAAAATTTCATAGTTTTAAATCAGTAATTTAAGATATCACCCATATAACTTTAGTGAGTACAATTAGTGTCTCCTGTCTACTGTCTCCATATTTTAAAATCCATTATACCTGATATCAACTATAGAAATTAGTAGTCTCTATTTGGGTGCTTATATAAACTATGACTTTTAGTAAAATTTTTGTATAACATTTTCTGTTTCTCAGCCAACATTTTTTCCATATCTTAGTTCAGTAGTATTTATCAGAAGAAAGTATAAGAGAAGGAGAAATGTAAAATGTAAAGAAGTTACTTTTCTTATTTGTTAGTGGTTTTAGGGAAAGAAGCAAGCTGGGAATAGGTTAGAATTAACAAAGATAATGCAATCTGTATACTATTCCTAGATAACAAGAGATACAGAAACTGCTATTAAGTTGGTGGTATAACTCTAAATTCAAAACCATATGACTTTGGGGACCAGGACCACACTCCAAGTTATTCCTATGGTTGGACTAATTTTTTTTTACAGTTATTTAAAATTAAAGTACCCACAGGACCACGATCAAGATTAGCATCTTATTCTATAAAAATTTTAGTTTAGGTTTTCAAATTTTCAGTATTCCATGGAACAAGCATAACTAACACAATAAAGCAATAGGCTTAAATAAAATTGGCTAAGGGAGTAACTGAAGATTACTAGGATGTCTGTGTGTGTGGCACAGGGAGAGCAAATTTCATGAAAATGAACACATAATATAGATGCTGATTTGAGCCTCATTAGTAATTTTTTTAGTTTAAATTTTGTGGTTTTAGTACTTCAGTGAAACATACATATATCCTATATAATAAAAAGGTAATATGCAAATTGAACCTAAGGGTGGAATGACAGGAAATGACCAGTCACTATGATATGCACTGATCACCAGGGGGCAGATGCTCAATGCAGAAGCTGCCCTTAGGTGGTCAGTGCGCTCCCACAGAGGGAGATCCTCTCAGTCACAAGCCCGGCTGACAGCTTCAAGCGCAGCAGCAGTAGCAGGAGCCTCTCTTTCCTCCTGGGCAGCACTAAGGATGTCCTACTATGGCTTAGGCCTGTAAGCCGTCAGTTGGACATTCCCCTGAGGGCTCCTGGGCTGCCAGAGGGATGTCTGACCGCCAACATAGGCTTGATCCCCCAGGGAGCAGGCCTAAGTCAGCAGATGGACATCCCCCAAGGGGTCCCAGACTGCAGGCCAGGCTGAGGGACCCCTCCTCCCGCAGAGCACAAATTTTGTGCACCGGCCCTCTAATATATATATATATATATATATATATATATATATATATATATATATATATAATTTTTTAAGGGATAATTTTGATATGCATAGTGTTTTTTTTAATATATTAAGTGTTCTTATATTGGGTGCATATATGTTTACCAGAGTTGTATCCTCTTCTCTGATCAATCCCTTAAGTATTATATAATGACTAGTGGCCTGGTAATTGAAATTCGTACACATTAAAAGGGAATGAATTAGAGGAAATATTTTAATATTGCTATTTGCCCTTTCTCAATAATAGAAGTGTCAGAGATGAAACAAAATTAGTAAAATGTATATGAAAACCTTCCTCCTGTTAGAGTCTGAGTTGCACCATGGGACCTAGAGTCAAGACCCCACCTACCCACTTGCACCTCGAAATCATGCGAGACCCGGCCAACCCCACTACCATTGGGTTAGATCCAGACCTAGCTGGTCCCTTGGACCAGTGCCAGGGCAAAAGGCATGGCCTGAGGTCCCCCAGCTCACGCCAGGGCAGGAGATGCACCTTGAGGTCCCCCATCAAGCCCTGTTGGGTGGGGAACATGGCCTGAGATCCCCCATCAAGCCCCACTGGGCCATGGGCTGGTCTGAGATACCCTGTCAAGCCCCACCAGGTAGGGGGCGTGGCCTCAGGTATCCCCAACCAGTGCCTGGGTGGGGTTGTGGCCTCAGGTCCCGTGGCCCAGTGCCAGGGTGGGAGGCACACCTTGAGGTCCCCTGTCAAGCCCCGCCAGGTGGATAGAGCAGCCTGAGGTCCCCCGAGCTGGCATAGGAGCGGGAGGACATGTACTGAGGTCCCCTGTCGAGAGAGGGGTATGGCCTGAGGTTCCCTGTCAAGCCCTGCTGGGTGGAGGTTGCAGCCTGAGGTCCCCTGGTTTGACACCACGATGGGGGGAGTGGCCTGAGGTCCCCTGTCAAGTCCTATGGTGGGTTGGAGGATGAGCAGCTCAGGTTTCTGATGATTGCTCATTAAGGCTCAGTACGGGAACTCAGCCTTTGCTGTGGGTGCAGCCATCTTATGTTATGGAAACCCCGTCTCTGCTGTGGGTGCAACCACCCTGTATTACAGAAACCCCCCTGCCTCTGCTGTGGGCACCACCATCTTTGCAGCAGAGTGACGGTCAATTTGCATATTCCCTCATTATTATATCAGATCTTTAGTCTCTTGTTATGGCCTTCATTTTGAAGTCTATTTTTTTTCTATTATGAGTGATTGTACCTAAGCTTTTATTTAATTTTCATTTTGATTTGCCTGGAAATTTTTTTTCACTCTCATCTCTTCACTGTCATCCTATGTGAGTCATTTGATCTGAGGTGGGTCTCTTGTAGACAGGATATATTTGGGTCATGTGTTCTTATTCTTTCAGCTGCCCTATGCCTTTTGATTGGAGCCTTTCATCCATTTACATTTAAGGTCATTATTGACTAGAGGCCCATTGCAGAAAGATTTCTGCAAGAATAAGGCTTCTTGTGGCTGTCTCAGCCACCCTGCCTGCTTCCTTCCCTTCTCCACCCCCTCCCCCCTGCCTGCTTCCCTCCCTTCTCAACTGCCCTGCTTGCTTACTTCTCCACAGTTTCGCTCCCTTCTGCAGATCTTGGCTTCCTCCTACATTGTTTTTAGTCTTTGCACTGCGCTTGGATATGCAAATTAACTGCCAGCTTGGTTGAGTTAATTTGCATATTTGCTCCTGATTGGCTGGTGGGCACATGGCTGGTGGACAGAGCAGAAGTATGGTCCATTTGCATGTTTCCCTTTTATTAGATAGGATAGTTCCTTATTAATTGCCATTTTAATTAAGCCATGCTTTTCTCTAGATATACATATTTCTTATTATTACAACAGCCTCTTTAATGTTTCTTATAAAGCTGGTTTAGTGGTAAATTCCTTTAGCCTTTTTTTTATTGTTTGTTGTTTTTGTTTTTGTTTTTTTGTTGTTCTGGAAAGCTCTTTATTTCACCATCTATTTTGAATGATAGCCTTGCTGGGTATAGTTGTCTTGTTTTCAATTCTTGCTTTTTCTTACTTTGTATACTATATGCCATTCCCTTCTGGCCAGAGGAATTTCTGATGAGAAATCAGTAGAAAACCTTATGAGATCTCTTTGTAGGTAACACATTTCTTTCCTCTTGCTGCCTTTAAGATTCTCTTTTTCTTTAATTTTTGGCTTTTTAATTATGATGTGTCTTAGCATCAGAAGTATTTAGGCAATGGAAGAAAAATGGGTAAAAAATGTGTGGGGTTAGTTTTCATCTGTGGAAACTTCTTACAATCAGCAAACATGTAAATGCACTCTCTGCATGTGAGCCACTCTCACAACACATCCACATGTTTACCAAGTAGGAAGCACTCTCACCCCCAGTATCACATTTAATATTAAATGGAACATTATAATTCTATTGTTTTTGTTAAGAAGCTTAATAATTATAAAATTTCACATACTAGTAAAATCATACTGAAAATGTCTTTTAAGAAGAATTTGTAAATGAAAATCCATGGCAACAAAAAAGACATTAATTTCACCTTTTGGGTAGGGAACTCAAACACTTTAGTTGAATTAGGATAAGTAAATGATACACTGTGGTCATAAAGAATTTCACAAATAATTTCATATTTTTTAGTTGTGAGCAATGTATTATGAAATAGAAGGTACTCAAACATTTGTGAACTCTAGTGTAGGCTAGAAAGCAACTGAAATTCAGAAAAGAAGTAAATGTTTTATGACTTTTATTCACCAGAGACCCCCTAGTACATGCCTCTCCAATTAAGGTAGCTGCCATTACAAATATGTTGAGACTTTTAAAAATTATTTTTAAAAAAAAATTAATTTAACTCGTAATAAAATATGTTAATAATTATATTGCTTTTCTACCAAAGCGGCACACAAAAATCTGAATATGTAATCTCAAGAAATCTGTACTAAAAATATTATAAGTAACAAATCCTTCCTTGATGGAAAGCAGGAATGTAGTATAAAAATATGAAAAACCCAAGTGTTACATGCCATTTACAGCTTATCATTTTCTTCTGGCACCTACCTGCTGTTGTTCTTTATCCTCAGTTTTCATAGCTAGTATCAGGCTTCTAACAAATGTCTGAAGTTTAAAGTATTTTTGCTTTTGAATCTCTAGCTCATTTTCAATGAATCTGACTTCTTCATTCTGAAAGAGAAAACATCAAATGATATAATTACCCTATACAAACTGGGATTGTACATAGCTGATGCACAAAAGCAATCAAATTAGAGAGACAATGAAGAAGATAAAATTTTAGCATAAAGGAATATAAAGCACAGAAGGAAATTGTCCTTTTACTCAAGGGCTGTTTTTAAGCAAACCGCTAACAGAAAACAATTTGGAAGGTCAAAAGTCCCATAAAATTAATCCAGTAAGAGAAAAATCAAGACACAGTTCCCTTATTAGAAAGACTCCTCCTATATTAACCTAATTCGCATTTGGAATAGGATTAAGAATAGACAGAGTCTAATTAACCCCAAGTAAAAAGCAATTACAGATCCAGTAACACTGAATGTATCATTCACAAAACCAAATACTGAGAACTAGAAAGGTTAATATATTTTTTTTACCAAAGAGAGACTTGAATTATTACTAAAACTATCTTAAGTAGTTTTCTGAGTCCCCTGTCTTTATGTAAGAGTCTATTACTCAGAAAATATCTCCAAATATACCACTGTATTCTACTAATTTGAGACTAATTATCTCTTCACTGTTTTTGCTAGTTGTGTAAGACAAAAAGCAATAGACTAGGGTTTGGGAGGATTTTAATGCTAAGTTTATTAATAATTGTGTAAACTTTGAAAGGTTATTCTCTGTGACTTTGTTTACTCATCAATAAAATAATATAATATTAATACAATTTGAATATTTTAGGTTTGAGGATGAGTTTCAAATAAGAAAATGGCCATTAAAATGCTCTGATATGTTTAAGAAATGAATTATATACTGAAAAGTAAATCCTAAAACTCTAAAACTAGTTAAAAAAGAAAATACAGAAGATAAAATCTTTGTGTTCTTGTGCTAGACAAAGATTCCTCAAGGGGGCACAAAAAGCATGAAACCTAAAAGAAAGACTTCATCAAAGTTTTAAAAAAAAGTTTGACCTTCAAAAGATGTTATTAATATACAAATACAAGCTACATATTTGTAAATCAAATATATGTTAAGGATCTGCATTCAGAACACATAAAAAAAAATCTTGCAACACAATTATAAGACCAGAAACAAATAAAGAGCAGGCAAAGCCTTTGAACACATACTTACAAAAGAAGATATGTGAATGATCAATAAACACATTAAAGTGCTTAATATCATTTGTTATTTAAGAAATGAAAATTAAATTTGATATGAGATTGTACTACTAACATACTACAATGGCTAAAATTAAGGAGACTGACAATAGTTCATGCTGATAGCAATTTGGAACAATTAAAGTCTCATACATTGTTGGTATTAGTGTAAAAGGATACATCCACTTTAAAAAATGTTTTGGCAGTTTCTTATAAAATTAAATCTACTCTTTCCTATCATTTCACTCAACAATCCTACTCTTACCCAAGTGAAATGAAAAAAACATGTCCACAAAAAGACATACATATTCATAGCAGCTTTCTTTATTCACAATAGCCAAGTACTAGAAACAACACAAGTGATCATCAGTAGATGAATAAACAGATTGTACTCATGGTTACATGACTGTGTCCATTTATCAAAATTTATCTAACTGTATAAGGAAGTGAATTTTATTTTATGGAAATTTTATCTAAAAAAACTGATTAAAATTAAAAAAATAAATTATTAGCCAGCCTCTTTGCCAAAACACATGAAAATAATCTATGAGTATTCCTTGAAGCTGGAGAATATGTTTCAGAATACACAGCAAGACCTTTAGCAGCATTTTTTCAAAAGTTTCATGAAATACATTAAAATAACTTAATTTTATGAGCATTTAAAATATATTTTTTATTGATTTCAAAGAGGAAAGGAGAGGGAGAGAGAGATAGAAATACAGTGATGAAAGAATCATTGTTTGGCTGCCTCCTGCACAACCTCTACTGGGAATGTAGCCCACAACTTGGACATGTGCCCTGACAGGGAATTGAACTGTGATCTCCACTGAGCCACACCGGCTGGGCTGGGCATTTTTCTTCTTTCAGATGAAAGAATGCAGTTGTATTAATCCCAATATATATATATGAACATGTTTATTACATCAATTTCATCAGCTCAGTTTAGAACTTATTTTACTTAGCAAAATTGCTTCCTTTTCAGAACACTTAATATCAAGTGAATCATCTGCAAATGATGATTCAAGTTAAATTTTTTATCCAAAGACACTTTGCAGCAATCATATTTACAAGCACTAAAATAAAGTTCGATATACTCCTGCCATAATACATTTGATTAATTCTAAATTTTGGCGTTTTTTTGTTTTGTTTTGTTTTGTTTTGTTTTGTTTTTTGTACTCATTGTCAGAACTATAGTATAAATAAAGTGCTGACCAGGAAGTCTTTTTGAATACAGAAGATATCTATCATCATTAACTTAGTATTTCCAATGAATATACAGTTTTTTAAGCTGAATTTAGAGTTCATTAAAAAATTAAAAACAGTAATTCACATTTGAAAAAAATCATGAAACACCTATTGATATGCAGGCCTCTAATTTCTCATCTGAACATTCCTCTTCCTCAGTATTTATGCATTTGAAAAACATAAACAATTTTAAGATAATATTGCAGACATTTTTTCTTAGAGCTGCATTTTGCAAGTCTATTAAACACTTCCAAGAGTAGAAGCAGTAATTTATGTGTACTTTAGAGATTTTCCTAAGTAAATGGAGTGTTTTTTAGAACTAGTATGACAACATCAGCCACTGACTTTCAGAAAAGAATATCTGCTCATTTGTGTTGTTAAAATCTTCCCTACATTCCAGTAAAGCTTGTCAGTTCTTCTCCAAGATGATTGTAGGGAATATTCAAGTTGTTATTTTATGATATAGTACTCATGCCTCAGGGATCACTAATTTGTCTCATAAGCATTTGGGTTAGTTAGAACTCCTAGAAATATGGATTTCTAGGAATATATCTCAATGAGAAACTTTAGTACACCCAAACTGAGCACTAATGGTTGAACAGTAACAATTATCAAATGCACATAAGAAATATTCATTCATTCTGCTACAATAAATCCCCAGAATAATGGAAAATTGTTTAATTTAGTGTAGGAAAAAGTTATTATGATCCAGCGTCTTATCTTAATTGATTTCATAGAAACGAGTACTTGCATAATAGTATTAAAATATTTCCAAGGATACTTTAATGTATTTACTCAATCAGGAATTAGTTACTGGACACATATGTGCTAAGCACTAGACCAGATAACACATAGATAAATATGTCTTTCCTTTCAAGAAGCTTAAAATGAATTATACTTAAGAAACCTACAGATTTTGATTCCAGAACAAGAAGTACTAACGTGTATGAAAATAAAATGCAAATGTGCTCTGAAGAAAGATTAAATTTCCAAACTGATGAGATTGTTTTAAATCAATATCCTGAAATCAGCAATGAGAACTGTTACAGGAGGTTTCACTTACCCAACAAATTCACAGGTGAAATGAACTGAAATGTTTTTAATATTGATCATAAAAATATATGTTTCTATATAGGGGTTGTTGTTTGAGAGTTAAAGAAGTTTATGTAGAACGGTTATGTGTTATAAAAGTTAACCTTAATAGGGTAGTGAATGACTCCTTGTTCTCACTGCATTTACCACAGTGGAAAACCCTAGATCATTAAATGTCTTTTAGAGTTCAATGAAAATGTTAAATAATATTTCTGGACTGGACATTCTGCCCTGCTCTGGCCTTTAGCTCCAAAGTTTCTCAAGTCTGTTGAAGGGAACACCAGAGGGGAAAGGTTCTAGAAAGACTCCTCAGAGTTCTGGACACAACTTTATCTGAACTGCTTGAAAGTGCTAAGAGGAGCACATTTAACAGTTATGCAAACCAGTCATCTTGTCTGTAGTTTCCATAACCCGTGCCAAGCAGTGGCTTGCAGAGGCATTTTAATCCTGTTCCGGGCATTTAGAAATACAGTATATGATCATGTAGGAGATATTAGATCATGTAGGAGAAATTACTGAAGGGAGGATAAGTTGGACATCTATAATAGTGTCAGCAATAAATACATTAAATTAAATTTAAAAAGAAATTATTGTTATACTATTTAAAATAAGAAAACAAAACAAACAAAAAACTATTTACAATATCCCTGAAAAAAACAACAGACATTCAAATTATACTTAAATAGTGCCCTTCAGTGACAAGGAAGTGTTTTCCTATAAGGGTAGTGTATTTAAAGGTACTCTAAATCTAGTACTTCAGAACAGACAACTTTATAATTTTGTTAGTTGGAAATACAGTTTAAATACAGTATTGTATTGTGCTTTTTGATCACTTAGAAAACAAATTTCAAAAGATAATTTCCTTCTGTGTTTACACTATTTAATATTTTAAAATCTGACATGTTATGCACATTTGGAAAACAAAATCTGCTGAATGACATAACTTTGAATTAAAGTAAAAGTGAAAAAAATTAAGAAAATGACAGCTGTTGTGTTTTTCTGATTAGAGTTATGTTATTTTCTGTTAATATCTAAATATTATACTCTGTTTTGAACTCTTATGATGTTTCAAAAAATAATTTTGTGTATGGAAACATGATTGTGTGACCAAAATTTCAGAAGACTCCAAAATTAACTTGTAAGATATGATACTGATTAACAAAGGGAAAACTATTATACATATATGCAGAAAATGTATTAACATATGGACTGATAGCTTTCAAAATTGAATAAAAACTAAACTATGTATGCCATGCTATCAAAATAAGCTTTTTAATTTAGTAACAAGTGATATTAAGAAAAGGTAATTTATATTCATTTGGTATTTGCATTAGGGATTATTTTTAAACTTCTCCTACAACAGATATACTATTGTATGTTTTAAAAATGGTCTTCAGAAGTTGTAATTCAAGATAAAAATAGCAAAAGAAAAATCTGGAAAAATCCCTTTTATTAACATTTAAAAATGAACATTAAGTTTAAAAAAAGCATTACCATAAATTTCACATTAATCATCACTATGCACAGCATCAACTTGTACACCATCAATACCTACTCCTATTGAGCAAACCCTGTGCTGATAACTATAACCCCTGAACCAGCCAGTATTAATTAAAATGACCAGCACCCTGACTGATATCGAAGTTATCTGAGAGAGTCAATGTGGAGCCCCAGCATGTTTAACTTATCAAGTGGAAGTGAAATAGACCAATACATAAGCACTGTAGACGTCTGCCTCATCTAATACCTTCTCTTAATGAATTCACAATTTGAAATTATTTTTACCTTATAATCCAAGAAAGAATTCACTTGTTCTACTTCAGAATTACTTATCATGTCACTTTCTTCATCGTCAATAATTTCTATTTTCTGTAACACAGGTAGAGAAGTTTTTATAAATATAGATTTTATCATCATCACTACACTCAACAATGTATAGAGTGTATACATTCAATATTCAGCTTTAGCTAAGGGATTATCTAGTCTACAATATCCGGAATAAACTCATGTAACTGACTGGTCCCCTAGTGTTAACACTCAGTGTTGTGTCTAAGCTACTTCCCTCGATCTTTAATTAATTACTGCTTAGTAAATAGAAAATTACTGAAGGGAGGATAAGTGGGACATCTATAAGTGTCAGCAATAAATACATTAAATTAAACTTAAAAAGAAATTATTGTTATACTATTTAAAATAAGAAAACAAAACAAACAAACAAAAAACTATTTACAATATCCCTGAAAAAACAACAACAGACATTCAAATTCTACTTAAATAGTGCCCAACAGTGACAAGGAAGTGTTTTTCTATAAGGGTAGTGTATTTAAAGGTAACCATACCTAATTGGTTTAAATATTTTTTAAGTCCTCAGACATCTCTGCAATTTCTAATGTAAAATTTCAACATAAAACATGAATTCCAAAGTCAAATACACTTTTTAAACAATTCACTTTTTTACTGCACTCCATTAGCTAAACAATTGAAAGCAGACATGTATAATGCAATGATCAAAATAGCATGGCTATGTTTCTTTCACTGGACAGTAAGAAGGAAGAGTGAGAAAGATGCTAAACTGGCCTTAGCTTTAGAGTTAAGGTACAGAATAGTTTATATAGTATCTTGTACACAGAAGGTACTCATTAAATATCTGTCAAAAGAAAAACAAAACAAAACAAAACTTAGCACTAATGAAAAGAATGATCAATAAGCTTCAACTCTTGGGCAAGGCAAGTTCTCTAACCCTGGAACATTTTTCCAAAAGCAAAAGCAAAACATAAAATCAGATCTAATTTTTACTTTTTGCATATGAAAACCAGAGTTAAAGAAAAACTATTCTAAATGTTTAAGCCCAACCAACCCAAAAGAAATTTTTAAAAGAGAAAAGCTAAGCTAGAATTAGTCATTAGGCAGTCTTTTTAGAAAGAGCACACTAACAGCAACATATTGTAGAAAGAATTTGAAAACAAGTTCCTATCCAGCAATACATATAGCGATTAAAAGTCACAATCTTGGATTGATCATATTTCACATATTTCCTGGGAGAGTACAGTACCATAACAGGGGTTGTAACCTGCAGGTTTCTGAGTCAAGAGGACAACTGCAATGAAATTGCTTTCTACTACTGCCTGGAGATGAATCTAATGTTTGTTTTTTATTATAATAACTATAAACTTAAGACTTAATCCTGTCAGGTCTCAGCAGACCTCTGATTTGATCATTTGTTAAATGTTATTTTTAAGAATCTCAATATATTTTGATTGGTTCTGGGATAAAGTAGCTACATAATCTAGGGAGGAAGCCACCAATGGCCTCTGTACAGATTTGTGCATATAAATAGATCTTATATGTCTTTGTGATTTGGTATCCATGAATAATTGGGGACACTCCAAAGCTACAGGCAGAAAAGATCAACTTTTGAAAGTCTGGACTTTTGTCTCTGAAAATCAATTGCTCTTGAAAAATTAAGTGACTAAGTGACTCTGGGTCACCCAATGCCATTTCTTCATTCATTATCTTCAAAGGTCTGCTACAGGGGAGATCCAGTTCAGAGAAATTTAGGCTAAAATGAGCATGTCTTTAGGGTAAAAGAGGTTCAATATGTAATTTGTATAATGTAACTCAAATCTGTAGCAGAGAAGATTATTACTTGGTGGGATTTAAGAATACTAGCACTTGTTTTCCTATGCGCCCTTTGAATGTAGTGTTAGAAGAGTCAAACATCAATTTAACTCAGTACTAAAATCAATGAAATGCAATTCTAAACAATATTGTGCATGTAGAAAACACATATATTATTGATGTTTAACAAAAAAGAACAAAACTGTATTTTATGTGCTTAACTTTTATTAAGCAGATGTGACAGGATTACAGTATCTGGTAAACAATGTTTGTAATTAAAGCCAAGGTAAATCTTGAAGTTACAGTAATTTTTTAACAGAAAAATCCATTATAGAGACATCTTTTTTCCCCCCCACATGTAGGGTGCTTGTTCATAGGAAGGCCACAGGTTTTGTTTTCCTTGTCACAATGGCTTCAAATTCCTGTTGGCTCTGCTGTGAACCAAAGAACCATTTCCTCAGGCCCTCTGCTCTGAGCATGTGCCATAGGGGCCATTTTTAAAAAGTCGCATTGAGGCACAAAACACTTATCCAAAAGCAAAAGCAAAGCACAGTGACATTTGTCTTTATGTCTGACTTTAATACCATCTTGAAATCAGTATTACTTGACAGACTCAGAATATAAACAGATATTGCTAAAACAGCTCCTTAGAGGACATCTCTATAATACCAACAATGCTTATATTTTTACAAAACCCTGTTTAATCCACACATAGCTTGTCTCTGTCTGCTATTCAATTGCTTACTACTGTTTTCCTCCATTGCTGCAATTTTTAAGATAACAGAGGCCAATTAGCTAGAAAAAAAGAAAAGGTTCCAAACACACTATATAAGATAGGAATGGTCTGAACAGAGAGAGACCTTGGAGTAAGGAATCCTTAGATACAAGTCCCAGAAGCAACAAAGGCTTCCTTCATAATTTCAAGCTAACCTGTTTTAATTCTGTCATCTATGAAATGAGAAGAAATCTGCTCTGTAAATGTGTTGAAGAAAATAACTTGTTATGCATAAAATGTCCTATGTGTAGTAAGCATTAGATTTTTATATTTGCAATCCCTGAAACTGAAAAAGTCTGAGGTTAAATGGACAGTGCTTTAACTTTCATTTGTTAAACTGTCAAAGATAGAGAATTCATTGGTAATAGTTCTGTTTTAATTTGTAAAGTGGAACAAGGCTTTATTCTAAAACCACTAATGTTGTCACCAACTAGGAACATATCCTTAAAATCCATCATGTAATGAGAAAATAATTTCAAAATGTACATACCACATTATCCTCGGATACTGCATGGTGGTCCTCCTCCTTATCAGCCCTTGTTTCATTAGGAACAACTTCATTGGACTCTTCCATAGACAAAAAGGCCATGATTTCATTTTACATTTCTCAAAACTTTATTGAGAATGCTTTATTCAAGATCAATGAAATAATTTATTTTAAAAAGACACAAATGGCAAATTCACTTCGTATATTCTTTGTTGAGCCATTCTACTTTTTATATGTGAATAGGTAAAAATACATAGATGGTCACCATTATATTATTTATAACTGAAAAAAATGAAAGAAACCTATATGCTTAACAATGAGAATTGGAGAATTCATTTAGGGTCTATCCCTACAATAAGAACAATGAAGCTACTAAAAATGAAGTAGAAAAATAGTTGATAATAAATAAAATATTCATGACATAATGGAAAGTGAATAAATAAAAGTGACAGAACCTACTATGTAGGTATACTAAAAAATGTGTACATATTCCTGGAAAAAGAAAACTAACACTATTTACATAAAATATTTCTGGATAAAATTACAGGCAATTATTATTTTTCTTCCTTTTGTCTAATTTTACTTATTTCACTTGCTCTTTCATAATCAAATATTTTTAAATGAATATGCATTACTCATTGCAATAAGAGAAAAGTGATAATTTTCAAATACATGATATCATATAAAGCTATAAATATAGTAAGTTTTCAATTTTATAAAAAGGCAGGTGTTTGTGAATGCACACACACACACACACACACACACACACACACACTCACAGTCCTGTCCATATGTAGAGAAAACACTGTCAAAAACTTTCCCCAACCTCGTTTTTAGTATGTTTATCACTGAGGGGTAGGGTTATTTCCAAAATTCTTATTGTATTTTCCAATGTTTTCTATAATGAAAATATATTTCTTTTGTGATCAAAATTCAGTATGTGAAAAAATGAGAAACAAAAGAAAAATTAATTCATAGAAGCCAGTTACTAAAAAGTTTCCTGTGTTGAGGTAGAGGAAGTGGCTCATTCACAGCATAGGATATCTACAATATAACCACCTGTTTTAATTACTCCTACCTCTACTTAGGAAAACAGGGAAGCACCGTTTTTCTCTGTTCCTTCTGCACAGCCATATTATGGAGATTATTTGCATACATACAACTGGAATTCTTTAGCCCCTAGTAATGACCGACATTTTATTTTGCCATTTAAAGTTCTTTTTAGAAAATATATTTTATTGATTTTTTAAAGAGAGGAAGGGAGATAGTTAGAAACATTGATCAGCTGCCTTCTGCACACACCTCACTGGGGATGTGCCCGCAACCAAGGTACACGCCCTTGATCGGAATCGAACCTGGGGCCTTTCAGTCCGCAGGCCGATGCTCTATCCACTGAGACAAACCAGTTTCGGCTTATTTTGCCATTTAAAACAGAGCAAATATATTTTCCAAATCCATTCATTTCCGTGGAAAGACATATAGGTGCGCTCTGTATGGTCACTGGGATGATTAGGAGGAAAACATGGTTGATCTAGAAACTCACATATGAATACATAGATAATTAGTGTTTAAGCATCCAGGGAAGTTTTTAAAAATAGCCCATCTACAGAAGTAATAGATGACTTGGTTTCTTAATTTGGAGTTTTAATGCAATGTTCAATTTATTTTTTAAAATATATTTTTTGTTGATCTTCAAGAGAGGTTTGGGTGGGAGAGAAAAATAGAAACATTGATGAAAGAGAAACATAGATTGGCTGCCTTCTGCATGTCCTTTACTGGGGATTGAACAGAATTCTGATTCATGGGCTGATCTTCAACCACTAAGTGACACCTCCTGGGATATCAAAAAAAAAAAAAAAATAATGGTTTCTAAACAGGAGAAGCTATTGTCTATTTGTTATTTAGAGATTTCAAATCACAGACATTTCAATTCTTATATAATCAGCAACTAAATGAAATGGAGGGAAAATTGTCATCAAGTTTAGTTTCATAGCTGGTATTAGTACTGGTACCCTCAGAATATACGTTAGTTTGTTTATCAACATCATTATTGGAATTACTTGCTCATAATTTTGTACACAGGTCTGTTTTTCCAGAAACATGCTCATTCATAGTTAATTATAAGATGTAAACAAAACTGTTGTGAGGATCCCTAAAATAAAAAGGTGTGAAGTGATACAGCTATATAAGCTATGTTTTCTTTAACTTACAGATGGTTTCTATGTTAGTGAAAGCTTGAAAGTTAAACATTGCCAATGTGTCTGATTATCCCCTGCCCTTCCAAAATCAGTCTTACTAATTGAAACTAAACAAGTAAGTGGAATTATTAATCAGTGAATTCTCTAGAGAGTATTCTATGTGGTGACCATAGTAACTATATGTAGATTTATCTTTCATGTGCACACCCACATAACAGACACAGCTAAAAAAAGGTTTCATTATGAAACTTAATGTTACAGATATTCATTTTCCCATACTTCAAACAATTTGTTTCTCAGAGTAGTAGAAATCTTGAAAATTGCTCAGCCATAAACATATTTGGTGGACAGAGAACTTGAAATTAAGAAACTGAGTCATCTATTACTTCTATAGCATTTGCAGTTAGGTGAGGGATAAAGCCCGGTAGTTCTACATTGTCATGCAGTTAATGAAACTCTCAAAGTAAACAAAAATGTAACTACATTTTCAAAACTGAAAGGTAATATGTTTAGTGTATTTTAAAGGTATGATATTAGTCTAGGCCGGATTATACAATTCACTTAATCATCACAAAAAATTCACCCAATTAAATGACTCAGAATACTATTTTGCATCAGCAAAACGAGGACGCGAATAGGACAGTATATATTTAAAAAGGCTCTTTTCGGTACTTGAACATTCTTTTATGATATTGTGGTGCAATTTGTGATGAAAATGAAAATCTTACCATGCAGCTATAAAAAATAAGCAATCAAGAGGAATTCTAGGCAATCTCACTTCCCATAAAGTATTTTTTGACTTATGCATTCAATTCTCTCTCCTTTTTTACATTAGATCTTGATTACTATGCCGGGTCTCTAGAGAACACACTATTAAATGACAAAGGAAGCCAGTAGAAGCAGTGGTACATTAGGAACTCTAAAATTTGCTCATTTTTCCCATTAACTAATTTTTAAAAATTCTCTCTTGGAGGGGGGGGGGGTTAGTGGGAGTTGGTAAATGGAACTCTCCTTAGGGGTTTATGTAATTTCTTTTTATCATATTTATATTCTTACAGCTTTACCATCCATCCATAGAAACACACAGTCATTCTCTAAACACCTGTTTATGAATCAGTGAAAATAGTCAAGTACTCCAAGGCATTTATATATAATTTAGTAAATACAACCATTAGGCAAAATGGTTTAATGCACCCACTAGATTAGAAATAGGGGCTTGAAAAATCATAATGGCTTCTCCTTTCATTCTGCTTCACAGTTTTTCCATACACTAAATTCTCCGTTATGATCATCAATATCCATAACAAATGTTGGTAAGAAAGAAAATACATGACCCTCTCAATATTAACATCTTTTACATCCCTTTCATTACTCAACGTACTGCAATTTGGTTGCCTTTCTCACCCACGGAATTGCTTTTTCAAAGAAATTCTTAAACACTAAATTCAATGGTTTTTCATTCATTTTTGTAAATTTTATTTTCCCACTTTATTGAGTTATAACTGGTATGCAAAATTGCACATAATTAATGTTTACAATTTGGTGAATTTAGACATATGTATACACTCCTGTTACCATCACCACAGTCCAGGAAATAAACATATCCATCAGCTTAAAAAAATTCCTTTGTTACTTTTTTGGTGTTCAGAACATGACATGAATTACCCTCTTAAGTTTTTAAGTATACAATCCTTTATTGCTAACTATAGGCACTATGTTGTTTAGCAGATCTCTGGAACTTACTCCTCTTGTATAACTGTAATTTTTAATACCCACTGAACAATGATTCCCCATATCCCTCTGCCCAATTCCTAGGTACCACAATTCTATTGTCCACTTGTATACCTTGGACCATTTTAGATACCTCATATAAGAGAAATTTTTACTCAACCTATATGAGATAGTTGAGAGAATAACCCCTCTTCCTCATGAAATTTCTCTCTTTGGTTTTATAAATAATATAATATCCTGATTCTCTTGTACCTAAATGTTCTTTTAATGGCACCCGTTTATCTTCCAGTCCCCAAATATAGATTGTTTTTAACACACAGTCCTTGTCTATCTTACTCTTTTGTTTTCTATGTTCTCATTTAACTATATTTTCTATATATATGGCCAGACATTATTTTGGCCTCACTGTGGGTGACTCCCAGATATTTTCTCATGTTTCAATTCCTCTCTTGAGTTCCATACCCAAATTATTAAAGGGTATGCTGTAAAGCTCCACATGGATATCCTGCCATCATCTAAAACACAACACATGCAAAACTGAATTCTGAATTTATCTTCACACATCATGCTATCTATCCATTGAATGCAGTGCCAATAAAAATCTTAAATGAATTATGTGGAGGAGGCTTGTGAAAAGAAATTCTAAAGTTCATCTAGAAGAATCAGTGTGTTTTTGTTACTGAGAATAATGTTAGCTAAGAATAATAAGAGCCCTACAAAATATTTACAGATTTTATAAAGCCACAGTTATAAATAATCAGATCAGTGTAACATAAGGAATCCAGAATTTGACCCACATGATATGAATGTATGTATAAGTGAATGTGCATGTACATTTATATGTGTACTACAGGCACGGTACATGAAAATTCATGCACTCAGGGGGATCCCTCAGCCTGGCCTGTGCCCTCTCATAGTCCAAGACCCCTCGGGATATCCACCTGCTAGCTCAGGCCCACTCCTCAGGGGATCAGACCTAAGCTGGCAGTCAGACACCCCTCTGAAAGCCCAGGAGCCCTTGGGGGATGTCCACCTGTTGGCTTAGGCCTGCTCCCCAGGGAATTGGGCCCAAGTTGGCAGTCAGATATCCCTCTGGCAGCCTGGGAGCCCTTGGGGGAGGACTAAGGCATTAGTCGAACATCTTTGGTGCT